AATAAAAAGAATAAAATTAGCTTTAGACAGTAGAATAAATGCCAAAAGATGCTATATCATTGTTTGTTAAATGTATGGCTAATAATTGCTATATTAATAGTAAGAATTTCACTCTAAGGTAAGCAGGGAAGATGTTGCAGAAATTTCTAGCTACCTATGCAAAATACCATTCTCCCCTTCCATGTGAACAAAACTTAGGTTTTGTTGATGATGGCTGTGTACCCAGCTAACAAACGACCTTTCCCATCTTTCCTTGAAACTAGGGGAATTGTTGTATGATATGATTCTTGCCAATGAAATGTAATCAGACTTTAAAAGGGGGCTTGCCTTAACTGGCACATGTTCTTTTGCCCTTCAGCCTTCTACCTCTTCCTGCCTGGAAGACGGATGCAGTGCTGGGTGTGCAATTATCCATTTTGTGACCAGGATGCAACTAAGTTAGAGCCAAGACAATCATAGGATTGTGGTATGGCTATCAGTGATAGCAGCCTTCTCATTGTGTGAGAAAAGACAACACATATTTATTTACTCTTCTGTTTGGGGGAGGCACTGGCAACTACAGCTTAAATTATTTCATAATTCAGAAGGAGGGGGAGATTGATCATAAAGGATCCAGTTTTGAATCCTTAGTTGGGTAGAGTGCCATGAATAAAACGTGGTTGTAAAAATGCACATTGTGTGTACAGATGTGTACTGCTCATTACTATGGCCTGGACCACAGAGGCCTGGACTCTTACCAGGCCTGCAGCTAGCCACCTGCCTTCCATGGTTCTCAGTTACCTCATCCAAAACATGGGACTAGATCAGATTTTTCTAAAGTCCTTTGAATTCAAAAATCCTATGATTCTAATTAATCCATTTGGCTGGGGATGATGAGTGGATCACAATTAAAAAGGCAATAGGGCTTGCCCCTTTCTAATCACAAGACAGCCTCAAGTATTGATTTTCTAAAATGAAAATCTGATCATACCTCTCCTTTGATTAAAACTTTCCAGTGATTAAAACATCCCCATTGTCACCAAAATAAACAAACTCTTCGCAAGGTAGATGAGGCCCTTTGTGATCAGGCTCTAAGAGCCTGTCCTCACTGTTGTAATTCATCCTCCTTGCCCTCTTCTGCCTCGTCCTTTGCCTCAACCCCTTTCCTTCCTCCCAACAAGATTTCCAGCCATATTGGACTTTGTGGAATGTGTTGACCCTACTATATTTTCGCTTATTCCCAGGTCTTTTGACATGCTGTTCTCTCTACCTGGAGTGTTTTCTCCCCATACCCCTCCCCTTTTAGTGTCTAATTCCTACTTATTCTTTAGGTTTCCTATAGAGGTCGTCTTTCCCTGGAAGCCTTCTTATACCCCAAAGATGGGGTTAAGAGTTTCTGCTAAGTTCTGTCTTGATAACTTGTGCTTATAAATATAACACTGTTCATAATGTATTCAAATTACCTGTTTGCTCACCTATCTCCTGAACTAGAATGAATTTCCTTGAGGGGAAGAACTGAGTCTTATACTTTTTTGTTTCCCCAGCACTTAGTACAAAGAGCAATATTCTATAGTTATTACACGAATCTTTGGATGGATAAATTGGGACCAAATTATGGAAAGCCTTGAAGAACGTCAGGCCAGTTTGTTGAACTTTTCAGTACTGCTCCTGGAGAGTCTTTACCACGGAGTCGATCATGATGGCAGATGTTAGCCTCATTTCCACCTTGCTTACTCAGGGAAGCACTGTGAAATAATGGGACATTTGCATAAAATAAGTAAATTTGTATTTCTGTACAAAATTAGATTCTATCCTATACAGGTTAGAATACAACCTTTATGGGGTACCAAAGACTTAAGAAAAATTCTGAGAGAGAAACTTCAAAATCATAAAATTTCATCATGAGACTTTTTCTACCAATCGGGAAGGTACTATCATTATCTTCCTTTTAGCTTTTTCATCATTTTGGTCCATTTTGCAGAGTACCTACATTATATGGGATTATAAGTTAAATCAACCTTAAATTAGAGAATATGAAACAAGTGCAGAAAAGAATAAGTTTATGTATCCCTTTTTATTATCATACAACCATTTTTTTTACAGTTGGTTCCTTAGCATCTTCAGAGAGAATATATGAGTAGGAGGTTTGAAGCTTGAGGCATTCTGGATTATTCCTTCAGAACACCTGTGTCATCATTGCCAGTAGCTTTAAAGTCATAAGCATCCTATGAATCAACAAAGCTAGAAATCAAAAGATTTAAGTTCAAAATCCTCTTCATCTTCTATTACTTACGTGTTTTCTTTGGAATAAGTTGACAGAGACAGATGTGGAATTTTAATATTTGTATGTCTTTATAATTCCAAAAAACAATCATACTGTTACTAAGAGATTTAAAATCTGTGTGTGAAACCGGCCATTTTTCTCTCTGCTTCTCTTGATGCCCACACATGGCCTGCCAAAACTATAAAAACTGTCCTGCCAGAGCTGTGGGGACCTTTCCTGTGTTACCCGGAGACGTTGGGTTGACCTAGCGAAGAAGAGGTGCCGTAGGAGAATTTTACTTACAAGCTCACTGAGAGACAGGAAGTGATTTAAGGGGAGGACTGGCCATGCTACAGGGAACCTGTATTTCCTGCTCACCTGGGCGTGTCACTGTGAGAGTAGATTCCTCTTTGCAGGGGAGCAGTGGGCACCCTGGGGGCTGTTACAGGTCCAGTCATTTTTTGGAGAACGCTTACTATTTTCTCTTTCCTGTCATTTCCTTGGAGGACAAGTGATCATATCCCCTATGCTGGCCTTCCCACTTTGTCAGAAAAATGATGGACAATCCCAAGAAATGGGCCACTTACTGTATCATTGCTCTCAGGAAAAAATAGAGTGGTGAGCCAGCTGCCTATAGAGTTCCCACCACAGAGGCCATGAGGAACCATCCCGGTCCCTGCTATGCCCCAAATGCTCCCACCTGCCACGAATACAGAAATGGGAGAGTGCAGTTAAGGCCAATGATGATTGAAATACCATAAAACATTGTACTTAGGAAACTTTACTTCCCCTTTGCAGTAGTACTTACGAGGATACGCCTCTAGGGAGCCCTAGCCCTTTGATTGGAAGCCATTGCTGTGATGTTTCAGGGTGTCAGCAGAGAAGGGCAGTGGGGTTTCTGTGCAGCTTCCTAGAGTAAAGAATACACAGGACAGTGGTAGATTTTTTGACAGTTTTAAATCTGATAACTGACAAACTGGGGCAGGGAGCTACATTAGAAATGTACGCTCCATAAAAGGCAGATTTATTTTCCACTTTAGGTCCATATAGCATACAAAACACCATGCTTGGTGATTTGGGAGATGCAAAGCTATATGAAACACAGTTCCTACCCTCAAGGAACTAACAAACTTAGGAACAGGGAAATGCACAGAAATGCTTATATTTTAAAGTATATGTGGTAAGGACACATAAGTTCTGGCAGGAGAGGGAGAGCTTTTTTAAAGGAGTTTATACTTATGTGATTCACAAAACTTGATGTTTTCCATATTAATTTCCATGGCTAAGTATGAGAGTAAAATTTACAAATACATGCATGAATGAAGTAAGAATTGGGATGTTTTCTCAAGGAGGCTTTCCTTATATATGAGTATGTACCTTTTTAATTCGCTGTAAGTGTTGTTAACCCAAGGTCCATGGCCTCCTGAATAATTTTCTGCAGGACGGGGTGGATAGGGGTGTGTATGGAGTTCACTGGGGAAAGGACTGGTGGCTTTCAACAGATTAATAAAGGGTTCTATGACAGAAGAAATTCAGAACCACTCATGTAGACTGCCTTCTTGGCTTGACAATAACCTTCACTTTTCTTCGCCTCCACTTCAATCCATTCTCATTTCACCATCGGTTATAACATAAAATGAGTGTTTTTATTTGTTGAATGCATTAACGTTTATATGCCATGTTCTTAATTTTGAAGACAGACAAATTCAACATATTATTCATAACAAGCCCTGACTGCATTTAACACTCAGGTGCTTCCTAAGAGATAGCTATTGTTATCCCCATGTTGCAGGCAGGGAAACGGAGGCTCACTGGGTACCTTTCTACACCTGCCCCTTAATAAGTTCAGAAACTCTGGTTAATTCTTTGTCTTAAAGCTGAAGCCTGCGCTCCCCTAACCAGTATGCTATACTGTCCTATGGTTTATAAATTGTTTTGTCTCTTCTCAAAAACAAACAAACAAACAAATAAACAAAACCCTCTTCTAAATTGCAGGTTGCTCTTCACAGTCCCTTGTGTTTTTCTTTTTGAAATGTCAACATGCCTTTTGAAGTAGATGGGCTTTTGCAGCTCCGTAGCCTCTAGGCGCAGGTGTACAAACTGTCAGCGTTATCTTCAACATAAAGCGTACATGTTAGTTAAAATCTAGATCATGTCATCAGATGTAAAGCATCATATTGAGCTGTTTGTAATTTAACAAACTTGAGTGAAGAATTGACCGCACATCATCATCCTCAACCCGAACACGGGAACTCGGAGAGGCGTACAGGCTTAGGACGGGAGACTTTCAAACTCCATGTTCTGCCTTCTCCATCCCGCTCCCCTGTGGATAAGTATTGTCTGTAACAACACGTGTCACTGGTGGGAAGTGTTTGAACTCTGTTAGACACAGAAGAAAGGTGGAGAAATCCATGTTACATCATTTGAAACCATCTCCATTTTGCAGACTACTTAGTAGGGAGAAACTTTGGAAGTTTAGGATCACTGATGTGTTATGAAATTATGCATACTTATTTATACATGATTTTTATGTAACTAAAACACTTTAGAATATGGTATAAAATATTTTAACCCAAATTGACCCTTTAAGACATGTGGCTGAGCAAACTGTAAACTCGACATCTTTTATAGTTTCACTGTTCAAAACCCTCTTTCAGTTAAAAAAAAAATCCAAAGTGGTTTATAGTTTGAAAATATACTTCCAAGAAAACATCACAGAAGTAAAATTACTGCTCTGCCTTTTATCTTGTAATTTTAGGCAAGGCACTGACATTCCTTCTGCTACAGCCGCCGAGCCCCAAACTTCCCTCCCACAGTACTATCCGAAGAACAGCCATCGATCTGATTGGACGCGGCTTCACAGTTTGGGAGCCTTACATGGATGTGTCTGCTGTCCTAATGGGGCTTCTCGAACTCTGTGCTGATGCCGAGAAACAACTTGCCAAGTATGTGCTCAATCCTAGTTAATTTGGTTTTTGTTTTGTTTTATTCGTTTATTTTGTCATCAGTTACCCATGATAAATTGTGTTTTTAATTGGAAAATAGACAAATACCTCAATATATGAAATTTTGGGTATGGACAATGAAAGGGAAGTATGTTTCTGTTATTTTAACACCATTGGGATTTAACATTGACCCGTGAGTGATAGATCAGTAACACAGTTTTAAAATTAAGTTTATTGTGCCTTGAGATATTATTAGCTAATAGTGATAGTGTAAATGATAGTATAAACATGTAATTTAAGTGGGAAACACTTGGTAACCAAATGGCTAGGAGTTGGGGGTAGGAGATTGGTGTTGACTTGAGAACTCAGCCTCCTGACCTGGAGGAAGTCTATTTTTTTCTTAGTGGTATAATACACCGAACATGAAATTTACCACTGTAATCATCTTAAAGCACATAATTCTGTGACATTAAGTGCATTTACAATGTTATGCAACCATCACCACTATCAAGTTCCCAGTAGTGGTCACCCCAAATGGAAACTCCATACCCATTAAGCAATCACTCCACATTCTCCCCTCCCACCAGTTCCTGGCAATCACTAATGTTTTCTGTCTCTATGAATTTGCCTATTCTGAATATTTCATATGAGTAGAATTATGCAATATGTGACCTTTTGTGTCTGGCTTCTTTCACTTAGCATGTTTTCAAGACTCATTCATGTTGTTTTGATACTTTATTTTTGTATAGTCAAATACTGTTCCATTCTCTAGATATGCCACGTTTTGTTTATCCGTTTATCTTTTGATGGACATTTGGGTTGCTTCCACCTTTCGGCTATTGAATAGTGCTGCTGTAAACATTCTTGTATAGGTATTTGTTTGAATACCTATTTTCATTTCTCTTGGGTAGATACCTAAAACTGGAATTGTTGAATCATATGGCAACTCTATGTTTAACTTATTTTTGAGGAGCCACTGTTTTCCACAGTGGCTGCACCATTTTACTTTCCTACCAGCAATGTACAAGAGTTGCATTTTCTCCACATCCTCCCCAACACATTTTCTGGTTGTGAGTGTGAATTCCTAGTGGTGGGAATTGTCAAACTGTCCCATGATGCCCCTCTTCATGTAAATGTTATCACCTCCTTGGTTTTCTCAATAGGAATTTCACTCTTATTATTGTTAATCTTTTTTTAGAAAACGAGAGTTCTCTGCCCTTTTCTTCATGGTTGCCTGTCTTACATCCCACAGCTCTCTTAGGTGCCAGCATGCTTTGGGCTATAGTCTTTCTGCTGGCTGCTCAATGCTCAGAAAGTGGAGACCAGAGAAACAAGTGAAGGCTGTACTGGAATGCTTGGCTTTGTCTTCAGATTGGGCACTCCTGGCCCCAAGTCCCACGGTTGATTGATAGGAGGAGGGTATTCATTTAAAACACAGGTCCTCCCCATCACCTCTTACATCGCCATGCTTCCTAACGTCACCTCTGCGTCTCCCTAGCTGTATGCCTTTCAGCAACTTACCTCACCTTTCTACCTTGGCTCCATCTATAAGTTGGGGCTAATTAAAGTACCTATCTCACAAGGTTGCTGTTAAATGAGTTCATATTTGCAAAGTGCTTAGAAGAGTATTAGTGCGTATTAAGAGATTAAATGAATGTTACCTCTATGGTGGCAGTACGGTGGTGATACTATTGTCATTGTCCTAGTGTTCAACAGATCAAGAACTGCCTATTTCTAGAATGAACGACATATTGGTAGCCAAGATACTTTCTGGATACCGGAGGTCAGAAGGTTCTCAGTTGACTTTAAGGATTGGGGGGTAATGTGAGCCCATGAGTTTGCGGTAGTAGTAAGAGGCAGCTGGCCTTTGTGCAAAGCCCCAGAACAGATTTCAACCTTTGCCCACCCCCCCTCAGCTGCAGCTGCCCTGTACACCCTCCCAAGAGTCCATTGCTGACTTCTGCTACCACAGCTCTCCTGGTTATCTTGAGAAGCTTTTAACATTTTTTGATGGTCTAAAATTTTACTTTGACCTAATATTTTACATTATTTTCAAATCTGATCTAAATGCAATTTCAACAGTAGGCACACTTATTTTGTTGGCTTGGAGAAGTGATGGGTTTTTATTTTAAGTTTAGTATTTAATATTTTGTTTTTAAAGAAATCTACATGAAGCTTATATCAGCAAACAGAAAGATGTGCTGATGTTTCACCTACATGTAATATGCCCACAGACACAACTACTGTAGCTTTTCAGTAGGTAATTTACACCTTGCTATTATATCCTTTTCTGTCATGAAGATTAGTATGACTCTCTATACACAGCTCTGAATAAATGAATGTATCAGCAGTTAGCCTTGAGGAGTCCAATGTAATTTTCATCATGATAAATTGCATAATAAGCAAGAAAATGTTTGCTTATTAATCTATAACAAGATTTAGATTGAAAATGGCCTGTTACCGCATGACACCCAGGACAGACTGCAGAAGGACTGAAATGGGAGGAAAAGGAGCAGCGACGCGTGCTGTGTGCACCTTTCGCTCCCTGGTACCCTACCGGGCCTCCCTGCCCCTCTTTGTGCCGGATGTGCTGTGCACGTGATCACAGAGCTCAGCTGCCTTGCTTCTGACTGTGATGTTAAGCCTGCCTTCTGAATAAGCTTTTGCGTTTGGCTTGTGCTTTTTAAAATTTCAGATCATATTTATTGAAAAAGAAAAGACACAGTGTTTTCCTCTTTATTCTCATTCTTGTGAGTTTCCGAGGGAGGGTTCTTGGGGAGGGGGCTGCTACCTTAGTCTGAAGAATGCACATTACAGCACAGTTTTTCTTCCTTCCTCTTCCATACGGCAACCTCCTCTGTCAGAGATGACTTTTGGGAGGACTACAAAAAGCTGTACATGGCTCAACATTAATAGAGCATTTTTTCAGAATTAATAATGCATTTATTTTATAAATATGTCTTAGAATTTTACATCTTTGAAATCAAAATCTCACCAGGTATTTTCTAATGTATCCAAATAGTTTTCCAAATTTCGAACTGTTTCTAAACTAAGCAAGCATTTCTTGAGTAGCTGATATGTGGAAGGGGCAGTGTTAGGTGTTATGCAGAGTTAATACATCACACAAGAGCCTGTCTGCACGGCACATGCAGTCTTACAGGAAAGATACGAGCTGCCTGGAGATAGCATGATGTGAAGTGAGAAGGAGAGCGAAAGGTCTGGACGTTCAGAGCATGAGAAGAGACAGACAGCTGGGTAATCAGGAAGTATGCAAGGAAGAGTTTCCTATGAATCTTTCATTTGGATGATTATGAGGAGAGGAGGGGAAAGAAAGACGTGCAACAGGACAGATGGGGAAGCACACCCAAAATATGCTGAATCATACCTGAAAACTTGGCGAGCGAAAGTAAAGACTGCTCTTAACTAATTTTATTCATTAATTTCTTGCAGAACTTAAACTGTGGGATGCTCCCATCTAAAACTCTAACATAATTTCCTTCCCATTTATTTCTGGGGAATAGAATTAGGGTCAAAGAGAACATTGGTTTCACCTTTTCCTTCATAGAAAGAGTGTTAGTGCATTTTTTCCTTGCTTGTAGCACCTGCCACATACCTAGCACTATGTAGAGGTATGGGATGCAGTCCTCTTATTGAATGCTTGCTCCCTATGAGTTTCTGTGCTACACACACCACAGATATTCCCATCTAAGTACAGGGAAGCTCAAGAAGTAGCCATTATATTTTTCATTTTGCAGATGAGAGAAAAACGGGTCTGTTGCCTCTTGTCCACAGTAACACTGTGTTCAGTAGAAAAGATGGGCTTCAAACCCAGGTCTCGCTGACTCCAAAAGCCACACTCCTAACACCGTACCATCTTGTCTTCAAAATCTAACACCACGAAAGACCAACTGAGCACTAAATTTAAAACAATCCAATAAAAGGACGTAAAAGTGTTCAACTCAGAATTTTCATTGTACTTTCAGATTTTAAAAATATACTTAACGAAATCATTTTCATTGAGAATTTTATGCCTTCTAGAAAGTAAGAGTCTATTTTAAATATCAGTGAGCTTCCTGAGTGCTTGGACCTTGGATTATGCATTTCTTCTTATTCACAACCACTGTGAAGTGGTTTACATGCAATAAACATTTAATAAAGTCATTGAATTCTAGAGAAGAAAATTGTCTTCAACAACATCTGATCCGATGCCCTCAATATGCTACTAAGTAAAAATAAGGGTTAGAGAGAGTAAACAACTTGTCTGAGGTCACAATGGTACGTTAAGAGCGGAG